ATATATATATATATATATATATATATATATATGATAAATCTTAATAATATGCATTTATTTTCTAAATTTTTTTATTTAAATAGAATAAACAATTACTTTCAAAATTACTTGAAAAGCTACAGATTTAAGAAACTGTACAATGTAAAAACATATATACTAGTATAAATAAACTTACGGAGTGTCTTAAAAGGAATAGAGAAAAATATTTCGATATTTTATTTGGTTTGCACGCTCAGTCACTTCTTCTTGCCTACTTTGATGATAATCGCTTTCAAATAGTCACAAATGTACCTGGAATAATGCGCGTCTAATATTAAAGCTGGCAATCGCACGTTGGCTTGAAACGCTGTGCCAAGCTTAATGTCCTCCACCGTGTAGTTGCTCGCTCCCCTAATGTAGAGGTCGCGTAGCTGGACCTTATAACCGTTCACACCACCTGTCAGGGAGAGAGTCAGCTCGTCCATCTGTCGGAGCGAACGGTATAAATAATAGCATAAATGCGTAACGAGACTTCCAAGAGCGTTCCTTCATCATCATCATTATCATTACGTAGCATAATTTCTTTCAACTATGATGGCCCCGCGAGACTCTCTCAGGAATCTTCATTTTGCAATTTTCAAGCATAGAAGGAGCGTTTTGGATGATCAAGGATCTTTGAATACTTTTTTATGATATTTCCACGAGTCTCCTTTATCGTCCTCCTATTTTTCGTTAAAAATCGATAAAAAAGAACAATTCGATGCGATTAACTTTTCTTCAATTTTACACGTGTGTAGATTCTGTTTCGATTAATATGTTGTTAAAATTTGAAAAAATTCCTGAGAAAATAAATTTATAGACCAACTATTTTAAGGTAGGTTGAATTACTTACACGGAACGGTTCCACGGCGGGCAGCTCGATTTCAGGTATCCCGGCGCTCAGGTATGGCCGCAAGTGGTGCAGAGCGTCGATCAGGCAAGTGATCAGTTTTGGATCGCTGCGAGAGCATTGTTTCACGTATTCGGCTGCAAATCGCGGAATATTGTGTGTGAACGATATCGTGTAGAAATTTAAGTAGCGATCCAATCGGATTTCCCCAGTTATGACTAAAGTCTGACTAAGAAGTCCCATCAAAATCCGGCTGAGAAACGTTTGATTTTGAAAAAGGACACCGGCCAGGAAAACTTAAAGGAATCTGGTAACCATGAAAAGCTGCCTCACATTTTATACGTGTAATACTTATATCTACGTAGATTCGAACTCGAACGGCAGACGTGGTCACTCATCCACCTTACTACACTTAATCAGCACCACTTGGAACCTGATGATCGGATGGCAGACACTGAGTTCAACGACTATGACGATATCCTTGTCATTACATTTTATGTAATGTACTTTTATGTTACTCCTTGTATTTCTTATATTGACATAAGTGTTCCTGTGCTACAAGCATTTTTAGGAAATATTCGAAAGTTATATTAATCGATTAATTAATCGACTAAATTTCGTAAGACTTCCTATCAGGGATCTGATCAGAATTTCCTATATTTATAGTCTAATAATTCGTCGAAATCAGGCGCTACGTTAGAAAAACAGGTCGGAATCCTTTTAGTTTTTTTCTTAATTCGAGAAGATTTATCGGAATCCGACGAGGAGTTGGGGGAAAAGATGGGGAGATTCCCACACGGGATAATCTTGTAACGTTACTTCAACACGCATACGCGCGCGCATCAGCCCGAGCGCGGTATAACTGCTATCTAACTGTACATCATAATTAAGGATTATGCTTGTCCAACTCATGTCTCACGGCTCATTTTGTTCTGTATCATAAGGCGAGAGAAATTGTAGATATTCTAGGTCGGCCGGGTAAAAGTGTCGGCCACTAAAAAGCGTCTCGGCCGTCGCTAGCCGTTAAAAGTGAAAGTGTTATCTCACGACAAAATGCACCTCCGAGTCGCGGCGTGTGCATTGCAGCGAATTGGTGCAGGACTGTAGGAGAGGTCGCACGCTCTTTTCTTTTTTCCCGAGCCCGCTGTGTTTTGCAAGACATTTTGCAATTTGAAGCGATCGTACGTTTGCGATGAATAAATTAGCAGGATTGGCGGCATACGCGCATTGACGTGCCGCAATGAAGAAATGGAAGGAGACCGTGATCGCGCATGCGTGGTTACACAAAAAATATATACACAGAGAGAGAGAGAGAGAGAGAGAGAAGCTGTGCTTCAATATTCATTGCCACTGAAAATCTATGGTTCATTTTGTAGATACTATAGTTATAGTATATTATAGTTTCATATATATATATGGTTTATTTTACTCATTACTTTTCACATATATTAGACTTTCAGTACTGGCAATGCGTATTGGAACGCAACTGGAGGAAAAAGTTCGACTAAATTGAAGAGAGTGCCATATTTGAAAATTTTACCGACCGAATACGATTCTTTTTTTTACAAAGCTTACTTATTGGTTGCATCGAATTATAAACGTTTTCGTACAGTGAAAGTAAGCGTAGAAATGAATTGCAGTATTATTCGGTAGTGCGGTGGAAATAATAAAAAATTTCAAAGTGACATCGCTAGCTGTTAGCTCGCATATTTATTTGATACAGAAATCCCGCAGCTCGTACATCCCGAATGTGTCGATGCTCGAATTAGGCAAATTTCCAAGAAATTTTTACATCTTTCCGAACGAAATTTAGAAGCCGAAAAAATATGAAAATTTCTCAGAAGCACTTTTATATATTTTGGTTAGATTTTCCATTACATTTACGCAAGCTCTATATGTACAAAAAATATGAGAAAGATAAGCGTGATCGTGTTTAAGTAACAACATTTTGAAGATCACCCTTACGTTATCGAAGCTTATCGACTATCGATTTGTCAACGACTTTAGCATCCGCTTAACGTAAATAATGAATCGAATCGCTTTTCCGTCAAATGAAACGTAATTCCTGGCTCTTAACAGCGAATTTAATTTGTAAGAAACAGAACACCCGTTTCTTCCAAGTCATTGTCGCGTCAATTCAACCGATTCCTTTTCCTCCGTGGAGATGTAATAATCCCAGGCACTCGTTGCGCGGTCATATCGATCGCGAAATTTTTAGGATAACGCGACGACAGATAACTTGGATCGCGGGGTAACGTCGCATTAACTTAAATTATCATCGGTTCCCTTGTCGAATTCGTCGGAATATGCACGAAAAGAATACGTCCATGCTGCGAACTTCGAACGTGCTTGCGACTTCGTTGCAACGTTTTCCACGGAAACGCAGATCCGGCCTCGACGGTTAACGCAACAATCGCGTGTATGTAATTCGTGCCACTTGGAGAATTTTGTATTCATTGCTGGGAAAGAAGCAAAGATTGAAAATCAGGCCGACTCGACATGCACGTCGCGATTAGACACTTCCGATCGCGCAGTTTCCCGAAATCGTCGTCCACAAACCCTGGCTTCTTTCGCTTCCCTTGCGAACTTCTTTCGTCAAAAACATCCAGTCCGACCGATCATCGTCACCCGGCACGTTTTTCCGCCGTAATCCGACCCGTCGACGTCAGATTGAAACAAATTACGATTCCGTCGCCTCATCGCAGGAGCAGACCGACTGGCCGAGCGCGGCAAGAAATAACGAATTTTAAATGGGATTCGGGCTCGTCATCACGCGTCGATATTCGCCTCTCGAATTTGCCGAGCGTAAAATCACAAAACGACGAGAAAGAGCGGTCCTCGCGATAGCGAGAGACGTGAAATCTCCGTACAGCCCGTGCAGTACTCACGTTGATTGGTGTCGGCGGAGAGAGTCGCTGTGCAGCCGATGAGCAGGAGGATAGCGCACACCCGCGTGGTCTTCATTTTCCCGAGGACGGCAGGACGAGTCCGCGAAAGTTCGTCGATTTAGCGAGAAGAGAGTCCCGCGCGATCCGATCTCGTGCGATTCCACAGAGCTTCTCCGCGAGATCGGCCGGATTGCCGAGCGTGGACCCTCCACCGGGGATCACCGAGGGTACGAGACAGTGGGTTCTCGGCTCGAAGGCGTCGATTCGCCCGCAGATCCCGTCATAAACGGCGCCGTTAGAGCAGGACTGACTATGCAAGAGGGCATTGACAGATGCCAGATCGTAGTTGCGCTCGGGACTTTCACTGCTGCAACAACATGCACCTGCGTGCCTTCGTCTTCGTCGTCCGCGCAGGCAGACTAGTCTCGAGGCCCGCTGCGGAGGAGACGGCTAGACGAAAGCGTCCCGCCTAGACAGTCCGAGATGGTGGTGTCTGTGCGCGTCAATCATGTTCTCTCGCATGGGAAGATGCGAGGCCGCCCCGGAGAAACCGAAGATCCGAGCTCCGCTGCGCCGAGAGAAAATCTTATTTCGCATTAATGCATCTGTAAACCCCGGCTCGAGGTTTGAATTTCCTTCGAAGCTTCGAAACTTGGCGAATTTTCGAAAATTATCGAAGATTAACTAACCTAATTTCTACACATTATTATCTTTAATATTGATCGGGTTACGAATAGTTTTGTTGACGCCGAAAGCGAAGGATAAATCGCCACGATTAGGACGTTGCAGGTTTCTGAAAGCAAAACGGCGAAAAATTATATTGGGCACTAAAGAATTTATTTCATTTTGCCTTGAGATTTTGTAGGCGATTTCTTCGAGATTATTGGATGCAGGTTTGGGAGCAGAATGTCTTTGTCACGACGAGATTTTAAGAAAGCTGCTGTCAAAGTAGCTGAAAATCGTAATTTTAGCATTTTCGATAATTAGTAATCGTGGACTGGGATGTGCTGCAAACTTTCGTAATTTTCTTTCGTCCTTTGTAACATTATTTATAACTTCATTGATATTGAAGATAATAATGTGCAGAAATTATTGCATATAGTGAAAACATGGATAAATATTTGTACAAAATTCTATGTCACACAGTTTTTCCAAATAAAATTTCTAAACGATTTGTTTTTCCCATTCGACGTTCTCGCACAAAAACCAGTTCACGGTTCTTATTGGTCCGTTTGATATTAATTCCCGATCAGACGATAGAGACGATAGAGATATATTTTTCCTTCCATTCTTGTTCTATCATTATTATTAACTTTATTGAGTGCAGAATGACACATTAATTTTGTATAATAATAATTGTATAATAATTATATTTTGTATTATAAATAATTGTGTAATAAAATTGTATAATAATGCATTTTAATTAAAAGAATATATCATGCTCATGGCCATGATAATTATAGTCATCGCGAATACGATCATCAAAGGATCTCTTGAGGAGAAAAAAAACTTGGAGTAGAGGCGAACATATAATTTTAGACACACTCTTTAAGTAATACAGACCTTGCCATTTACGGATTATTCTCGTGTGTTCTCGATGCCGTCGTTTATGAAGTTACAAACGACTTGTCACTATGACGACACAACAAGGTCTTTAATCGTTCAGATGATGTTACGGCGGGCCGGCACTCACTTGACTCTCAGATCTTACGTAACGACGACTTTTTTTTTTCTTTTCATTTATTTTTAACGAGAGACGGGGAGGCCACGAAAATCATCACGAGCTGACGACGTCACGTCGCTCCTCGAATGAACGCTTCGTTGGATATGAATGACCGGCGTCGGGCCCACAAGACCGCGAAGGTAGTACGTGAGGCAAGACAATGCACTCTTGTGCGCAATGTAAACAACAGGTGCCCACGATAATAAAGTGCAACAGGGGACGCAACGTGCGACAACGGTAAAGCGCCGCCCGCTTGCCTGTGTGCTGACGTAACAAGTCGTTTGCATTCGGCCATAGCAATTAAACCGGCTGTATTGTGCAATGGAATTTCGGTGGAAAGGGTACGCGTACAGTGATCGACGAGGCCTGTGTACACACTTGCAAAGTCGAAATTTGTCCCTGACATAATATAAATATTGCGAAAATCGGCTACGTCGACCTTAATTCTATGCGCAGCTTCGTTCTAGAATAAATTGAACAGAAGTTAACTAATCGATTAGTTTTTTTTTTTTCTTTAGTTTTGACTCTTCTCGGCTTAATAGCAGAGGGAGATCACGAAAATTGACATAGGTATGGTAAACCGACATACCCGTGTTTCTCGGCTGTAAAGTACTGAACTCTGTCGGATGTAACGTGGACTTCATCTACTGTGTGCAGTCGGTCACAGGACGGTTGCAACAGTTTTTTTGTCTTATTAATCGGAACCGTACTACCGTGCCGGAAAATTGTGTTTAAATAAATATATACTTTATTTAAAAATAAGTGAATACAAATAAATCAATTTATCTGTAAATCAATCAATCTGTAAATCTAAGTGAATCATTTTCTGATATTAAAGGAATCCTTTTGTTTTAAATAAAAAGTTTCTTTTACTGTTAGAAAACAACTTATTTAGATTTACAAAATGATTCATTTGTATTTTGCTTACTTTGAAAATAAGTAAATATTTTTTTAAACATGTTTTTTTACATTTAAAAGAAACAATTCTTTTTATTGAAATTATTTGTTTGTTCCATAGTGCAATAAATTTAATTGTCTATTAATATTTCAGGAAATGAATATTAATAAATAATTAAATTTATTGTACTACAATTACTGTGCGTTGGTTCTTATTCGCTCCTAATGCTTTAAATTTGATTAAATAAAACATAATTCATACATGCACACGCATAACAACGTGGATCACCACGTTGGCCCACGCGGACGACAAGGCACGTAAAACTGGTCCAGCACATGTTGATAAATGCTTTGATATTATCGAAAAAAAATTGGATTTTCTCTTTTCTCGCTTCTTTCCAATTTCTTGCGCGAGACCAGAAACGTGACAACCCGTCAAACAAGAGTGCTAAACTGGTTATACATCCACAGGAGTTCGCTCGCGCTCGTAGTGGGCTCGTACAGAGCTTGTGTGATACAAAATTCTTTGGGAAACTTTTGCATTTATAGATACGTCGACAGTGATTATTTTTCTTCATAAAATTATATACGATAAAACACCACACGAAAGCAGGAATAAATTCTCGCTTCAGAAACGAGAATTTCTTCTCGTTGTTACAACTCTCATTTTACCGACGTTCACTTTCCTCTTCGACGAGATCTTTTGATCAGATAATGTCGTTTATTCTAAGTACACGTTGTTTTCTACGTGACTTCTGAACGAATATGTGATATTCGTGAAGAAAATACGTAATTCACATAAGAATGGCTCGAAGGAAGGTTCGTATGCTTGTATGTCGCTCGCGCGTTCACTACTTGTGAGAAATTCGCGATCAAGTTATACGAGACTCTTAGACCGGTACCTGTTCCTCCTCCGTCTTTTTATACTTTTTAAGATCTGTCTGCTGCTTCGCATCATTAGTGGATGTGCAAGTAAAGGGAAAGAAGCACCTTGCAGGATGAGATTCAGAATAATACCGAGTCTTCCGTCGTCAAGTTAACATCTCCTGCCGCCTTCGTTCTTTTCGTTCACATTTTCGGTAAGCAAATAGATACGGCCTATTTATTAAGAGGCTTTTTACATTACAGGGAGTATCTCTATTAAACCTAAGTTTCTGAAAGAATGCATGGACTCTCCACGCTTAAGTGAAGTTTAGTTAGAACAGCAATTCGGTGTGGAAGAGTAATGAAGCAATAGACAAACGTTTCCTAATTCATTTTCTAATAGTGAATGCGATGGCATGTCAAAAGCTGCTGTACATGAAGCAGTTATTTGCATAAGAAAGCATATATAAGTATTTTGAACGATTAGAATTGATAATAATATTATCACGTTATTTAACAGAAAATATATTAATTATTTAAAGCGCTTACACTTTAAGTCATTATATTTGGATACTTTAGGTTTAGCGGCCTTTAATTGCATTAATCCGCTGTAGTAATCGAATTCGCCGTTAAAAAACAGTCTTACCACTATTTCATTATTATTCCATACGAATTGAACTGTTATTGTAATGTATGAGTTTTTATTGCAAAAAAAACAACGTTTATTTTCTCCCTTTATTTTACAGTTTTTACATTTCATTTTTACACTCTAATAATATTTCTATGACGTATGTAATTCACTAAATAGCGCTGGGATAAAATCATCCAGCGCCTCGTCACGCTGAGGAAAAAGTCAAAAGTCAGTCTTTATAGTCACCTCTCTGTGGTCGCATAATTTATACATCAAATTATATCTTCTAGGATTATAAATAAGCTTTACAGTTTTCAAACTTCCTTTATTCATAACTTTTTAAGAAATAATGAGAACTAAAGTCTTAAAAAAGTCTTTTAAATGTTACTCAGAAGAATTACCTCTATACGTAAAGATCGAGATTATAGGAGACGGGTCTCCTATTCGATATATTTACCTGTACAAAACAGGTTTCCTATACAAAATAAAATAATTTCTATGAATAAACAGGAGTCTCAGGCGAATGTCGCAATTTTCGCCAAACACTACACGTTCGTGTTTGACGATTTGGTAGAAATATTTTTTTCCCATCACATTTGGGGGAAAAATTGATTAAATTGCGCAACACTGAAAAATCGGATCAAAATTCGCATCCCCACTTAAGTTACGTCTCCCCGAGACAATTTCCGCGAAATTATATAAACCTGGCCAAGAATGTTCGAGTCGGAAAGAAATCGCTCACCTTCTCTCAGATATATACAGAGAGTGAAAGTGTGAGGAACGCTCCTTCGCGTCCGCGTACTTCGAATGAACCGAGGAGTGCATCCTCGCACACGGATTATCCCGATCGAGTACCGTTTTCGGTAATATCTTCATTGCGTGCTACAGATTCATTCAGCGGAGCGAAGACCACGGAGAAATGCGTCCTAGGATTTTTGTGCTTGAATTGACACCGGCGTTGTTGTTGCTGCTGTTTTACGCTTCGGTTACCGCCGATTTCGGTGAGTACACGTGCGGCTCAACCGAGCGAACGGGAGTGCGCGATGATGAACCCGGAAGCCATATGGTTCTTAAACACGAGTCACAAATGCAAATAGGAGAAATAAAAAATTCGAGACGTTGACCGTGTCCTCGCCACGTCCGCAATGGCGATCGATTGCTTGACAAAGCTACTCGCCATTTATGAACGGTATCCATAAGTAATGAAGTATTTTATAATAGAATACATTTGAAATTCTAAGAGACATCTTGACATCTCTATCGACACGGGAAGAAAAAAGCGCTATGTTCAATTAATATTTATTTGATCCGAGTAAAACGGCTACTCCGATATTCCTTGGCAAATATTTACGGGAAGTAGAAATATAATTGATTATATACAATGTGATATTTTGTTCGTATTATTAGACATTTACTTGTGTGTGTTAAAATCATTTCGACGAATATTAAATTTATATAATATTGAGAATGTCAGAATTTTAATGTTGAAAAATATTTACTGAACAAGGAAATTGAAATTCAGAATACTAATCTGGGTACACACTTTCGCATAAGTGGGAAACATGCAAGAAATTGGTCTTGCCTGTCGATACTTTCCATTCCATGGTTGTACTCCATTACACAGTTGGGTTTTAAAACATTTTCTTCCTCGCCTCCCTTCTTTCTTCTTATTTTTCTTGTATCAACCATTTCTGCTCTTGAATGTTTAGTGCTTATTATATATACATCTTTCTTATCAAGCCAGCGTAAAGACAAAATACCTCTACAATATAATGTTCTTACTTCTCCCTTTTTTAGTTTGTACAATGCCAGCTTCTTTGGTATAGTTTTTTTATTTTTTCTGACCGTTCCAACAACATTTGTATTATTTTCATTCAAAATTTGGAATAATTTTGGTGATGAATACCAATTGTCTAAAAATAAAGTATATCCTTTCCTTAAAATGGGTTCGGCTAGTTCCATGACTACACTTTGCGATACAGGTATATCACTTCCTTCACTTTTATCTTGTCCTGTATAAATTTTGAATCGATAACAGTACCCAGAATTATATTCACATAATTTGTACAATTTAATTCCAAATCTCGCTCGTTTTGATGCTATAAATTATACGTAATTCAGCCGTCTTCTGAATTTCATTAGGGATTCGTCTATGACGACATTTTCTTCTGGAATGTATAATTGTTGGAATTTGGTATTCAAGTAATCGACCACGGATCGAACTTTTCGTATTCTGTCTTCTTTAGAAATCATCTTATTATCCACGAACGTCTTGATGTCTCGGAGACGTTAAAGTCTACAATGGCACATGAAATGAATGACGTCTCCCAGACGTCATTGTATGTCAAGGAGTTAAATATTCTCCGAAATTTAAAACAATTTACTTACATTCAGTAATTCATTATGCGACAGTATTCATCTGCGACAGCATAAAATTTGCCGTGCCGTGAAATTATTTTTCTCTTTGACTCGGGCCAACTAGTTAAATTTCTGCTCAAAATTGCGGTTAAAAAGCGAGCTCGAAAATGCGAGACGAAGTGAGGCACAACGAACATTTGAGGCACGCAATATTACGTTAGCGATATTACGCAACGGCTTTATTTTGTAATAGACAACTGCGAGGCAGCGAAGCGAAATGCTTTCTCAAGATACACACATGTGCGTTTGCGCTATCGAAACCGGGATTCTTGCGAGTGAAAGCCGCATTACACGCTGTTGCGTGTGCACATTCAATGTTAATTAATGCGATAATCTGTAAACAATCGCTCTCGAGCGCGCGTGATTCACTATTGTATTCCTGCGAGCGTCCCGAGTGTCTCTTTTGTTCGACGGACAGTGATGCATTTTTCCAATATATTTAAATGACTTGTTATCCATTATTACGTTCTCAGTAATATATTTTTCCGATTTCATATGCATACAAACAATCTGCACGCTTCTAGAAGTTTTGGTTAAGAAAATTAAAATCATTTCTTCTCCGTTCCGTTATATAATAAATATTAGAAATTCAACATTGCCACATCGATGGCTTGTTCTTCACATAAGATTACGCCACTTAGTGTGTTTTGTCTTTCTCTCCCTCTCTCTTTTTTTCTTTCTCTTCGATCGCGTGCAAGAATTGAATTATTACTTCGCGTTGACTTTATTTTTCCCGCTTCTGAAATGACTTTTTCGTGCATAATCTCATGACTTGAACCAGTCACTATGTGTTATGATTATTTTTACAGAGAACCATTTCAAAGACTGCCACCCAGACACGTCGGGCTTCGATGTTTGCGTTCGAGGAGGATTGAATGCTATTCGGCCTTATTTCAAAACCGGTCTGCCGCAATACAATCTGCCCCCGTTCGACCCCTTTTTTGCCAAAGAGATTACGGCCAAGAGGGGCATTCCGAATTTCGGCTTCACCTTAACGCTCCGCAACGTCTCCGAATACGGATGGACTTTTAGTAAAGTGGTGAAATTCGTGTCCGATCTGAAGAATTATAAGGTATATAACACGTACATATAAACACACCTTACTGGTGCAAGTTTTAGGTAAGGTAGTTGTCCATTGACAACATTCATAAGAAAGTAATTGTTAATACACAAACACCAGAAAGTTCGATAAATTTATTTTGAACATTTATAAATACGAATATATAATTCGAGGTTTTTGCTAGCGTGAGTGACTCAGCAACTCGCGTTAGCGGAAAGGATTTATCGTTCCAAGACGACAGCGGGATGGACTCGGGATTTATTTTTTGTAAATTAGCGCCGATGAAAGGTACACGGTCGTCACGATTGTCCTCGGCTGCCTCGCGGTAAGATCTCCGTCGCTCTGTATTGAAGATTCGCTCCGAGCGGGAAACGGGCGCTCAAGCAAAATTCGTTCGGCAAGATTCCCGACTCGCGGCGCACGGCAGAAAAGTAGCGACTGACTGAACGAAAATCTCCGCTCCGTGTTATTCCGGCTGTCTCTGGTTGTCACGTTCGGACAAAGTCTATTAGTAAATATTGTGTTTGTGCATAAATTTGATTATTTCGTCAGCCCGTCTCTTTAGCGATTCCGCGGAAGAGCGTAACGCACGATTCGCTCTTCCATCTCTGAGCGGCTTCTTGCGATCGAACACCCTAAGTCTTCGTGAAAACATTAATAAAATCGGCGCTGCGTATTGCAATATCGCTAATTTGCCGCGTGAATTTCTTAGCTTGTTAGAAAATATTTTTCTAAAGCAACCGTACAATTACCAGCATCATAAATCTTGTCGCGAACGTGTAAGTATACTACAATATCCGTCATCTTAACGCGGGTTGCTATAGCGGACTTGAGATTGGGTGATTTGGGTCGGAACATGAAATACTTCGATTATACAGAGGCATACGTATCGCTGGCCAAAAACTAACTCCGATCGCTCTTCTCGAGCGGTTAGAAAGAGATAGTTGAATTGGGACAGTGTTGCCCGTGTCTACCCAATTGGAAGTACCATGTGACTCGATGTACTACCGACTTTGAAAATATATACCTCCGCGCACGTTTTGAACACATCGAAACAATGTTTATATATAGGAGAGGATAAATGAAACGTAATGAATAACGTAATGCATAACAACGTGGAATGATATATACGTTTATAATATATACTTAACGCTTCACGAACAATATTGTTAAATACCATTTTACAAATATTTACAGAACATTATTCAGAAATGTTACAATAATATATATATAATATCAATGTTTCAAAATGTTGATTTAATATTTCTTCTTTACTGGGCTCTTAATATCATAACTGTTCTAGGAAGTAGAAGATTAAATTTACACAGCTAAAACAAATATTTAAAATAATAATAAAGTACTCACTATACTATTCGGTATAATTATTCTGAATAAGATGATACTATTAATACTTTTTTTAATACAATTTTTTAACTGGTTACTTTTTGTTGTATTTACTTGTAATAACGATACATCGGCGATGTGCATCTAAGTGGCTTCCTTTTATTTTTTTAGAAAACCGAAATCCTTTCTCTCACCTTTATTTATTTATATATAATTTACATAATCACCGAGGTTTACGAATGTAATTGCTTTTTAATTAACATTTTTGTTTAGATCTCTGTTTCTTAACATAAGTTTTCTTATAGAAATTATAAAATAACAACAGGTATATAATTACATTGGCACACACTATAGAAAGGAATCCAAATCCACATGATGTTTCATAGAAAGGATGTAGTATTTGCGACAAATATACCAATATAGCAAGAAATTGTATCTGGTTTAGAGGAAACACAATGAAATGTAAAGAAAATGCGTAATATGTTTATAAGTTAGTTTAAAATTTCAACGCATTTCCGGAAAGAAACGATTAATTAACGACAATATTAACGACCAAATATAAAAAATATTATAATATAACTTACCATCTGTATCCTAGTTACGTAAAGTTTGATGGGAGCGATTATTTGTTGAATCTTTGGGCTGCATGCAGCACCCAAGTAATACGTGTACATTAATATATGTACAGAACAATTTATCAAGGACAAAAATGTAATTCTCGTATCCCAATAATACCTAAGACTTATCCAGGAAAGTATTGCCACTGATACATGATGGTATACATGTAAAGAGGAGACTTGCTTTTGTTTCTTCCTTAATACAAATACACATGTTTCGACATAATCGATAATTTTCAATTGTGCTGTCCACCAAGAAACATTTGTTAGCTAAAAAATACATATATATATATATATATTACGTATATTAATATAATCAGCTTTATTACATTTTTTCGCAGAAGATGCGATTGATCGAAAATTAACAGTAAATGTTATATAATACGAGAATATACCACTTGTGCATAGGGACTATCAAAATCTTGTTTCAAAGCCATTCTAAAACCATATGTCGTAAACCAACCGCCACGTATGTGCTCCTTTACTATCCAGACATTTGCTAGGATCTGAATTATATTATAAACCAATATTAAATTTTTTAATTTGTATGGTGGTCTATCTTTCATGTAACGAGGACCAACGACATAGATAAAATACAAATATACAAGGGTAATGAATATTATTGGATAACACGAAGTCATCATCGGCCATTTCCCAATTTTTGCATCTGTAATTAACAGTACAATACATTGTTTGAGATGTAAAGTAAGCAATCTCTACGAAAAGAATATACCTTCTTAATTAATTTTTTCTATACAGTCCGGCAATCTTTCGATATTCAATTTGCACAGGTTTGGCTATTTGGGTATATTTAACGACTTTACGATCATGTTAAACTATCTTTATAATAAAATACCTTCGCTATATTAACATATCGCATTATATCACGTGCAACAATAAAGAAAGGAAAACAAAAAACATATAAACACTAAATATTCTCATTTTATGCAATTGACAAGATAATGGAGACATTACGAAAGCAGGCCGCAAAAATTCAGAGAGAAAAATTGGAAACTAAATTTTATCATACTCACCCGGCTCGTTTAGAAGATAAGTGAACAACAGTTCCAAATTCATCGTGTACAAAAAGGAACTTAATATCACAATGTTGCTTTTAACTTTTAACTAACACGATATCGACAGTCAGAATTCCAGATACGATATTATTACTTAGCTGAAAGTGGCTTGCTTTTATAAAGTCGCACAAACTCGGTTATATAATTTCGTGACAAAGTTTTTATTATTATAATGAAGCCTTTCTAAAACCGGCAAAATAAATGTCGTCATTAAAACTTCCATTCAACACGCATTACATTAATTTTTTTCGGCCGTAGTAGTTTTAAATATAAATATTTTGCCAGAAATATTCCGGATTTCGATTAGAAAGAGTTAAACTTTGCATTTAACAGAACAAAAATAATAGAATGAAGTCAAATAAACATAATAATATAACATATAATAAACATGTTTGCCAGTATCTGGATAAAATTGTGTAAATAATTAACCAGATAAATAAATCAATCATCTTTATTTTTATCTAGATGAAAGAAATACAAAAATATTCATCTTCATTTTAGGTAAAAAAAATATGTTATTTTATCTAAAAATTATCTGAAATGGTGTTATGGTCGATATTCTGAATTCACTTTTTGATAAAATTAACATTTATTTATACAAAATCAGAGTACACTTTAATCAACAAAGTAATCTCCAGCGGCATCTATACATTTTTGTCATCTTTCGGTAGGTGACGAACCCCTCTCGGTAAAAGGTTTAGAGTCAATGAAGTCAGTAATGCATTGCATGATAAAAATAAGTGTGACGGACAAATTTGATATTTCTTTTTGCGATGGGTGACAAAGAAAGGGAGAGAAAGCAAGAAAGAGAGAGAGAGAGAGAGAGAGAGAGAGAGATTAAGTAATCTTTGAATATTGCATTGACCAGGTCGTGTACACACAAAGTTTCCCGGAAAAATCGCTGTCGGGCAGCTACGAATTTAAGGGCGTACTCTTCAGCAGCAGCATAATCAATAAGGGAACATTCACGATGACTCTCTGTAAGTGCTCTAAGAATTCGCATTTGTTTGATCAAGCCTCGAGAAAGCTCACTTATCGCGAAGCTTTGTGATGATCGAAGGAATAAATGTGCGTGAAATCGATATGTTACAAAAATGAAGTTAAAGGTTCTTTCGACACACAATCAAAAAAAAATAAAAAATCCTTTATTTCTCCTCAACATGTCATATTTTCTTTTCTCTCAAAAACACGTTTCTTGTAATTTACGAAGAAAAAGCGACAGCGAAGAATTTCCGGTAAAGAAATTCTACTCGCGTTTTCATCGATGTCATGTTCCTTCGATTATTACTTTCCCGACAACTGAAAAATTTCCGTCACAAGTGTTTGATAAACCATTGAGAAACGAGTATATCTGCCGCCTGTTTGTTATAAAATAGCCCTCGACGTTGCAGATGATTTGATTCAAATGACTACCGTGACCAGACTGCCGAGCCGAAAGATACGCGCCCAGATGGACGTGCAGAGTATCAGAGATATGAGCCTTCACATCGGGAATCTTCTGTCCGGCAAGGAATTTCTCGAGAATATGCTTGACAAGTTAATTAACGGCGCCTGGCAACCGGGTTTCGTCGTAACACGTGGCCTGATCAATGAACTTGTCTCAACAGCCTTCACGGAGATTTTTGACACCTGTTTCCGCAATTTCCCCTTCGAACAGATCTTCAAACCTGTAAATAGGCTGTCCAAAGCCAATTCGACCGTGAGCTCGACAGCGACGAAACGAAACGGGATTGCCGGGAACTCGTTTAATTAATAGTCACGCACACGCAGAGAAAAAAGATTAGTTGAACGATCACGTAACCAATGAACGAGTCAAACGTCTTTCAGATGAAGAAAGTTTCTGATTCTTGTAATCGAATTTGATTCTCACGAATTAGAAATACCATTTTTTTTAGTGAATGTACAAGGGCAGTCCGATAAGTACTTAGCCTACAAAAGAAAAACGAAAATTTTGGAAAAGTGGCGATTTATTTCTCAACATAGTCTCCTTTTAGCTCGATACACTTGACCCAGCAATGCTCCAACTTCTTTAACCCATCTGAAAAATACGTTTTCTCGAAGTCTGCAAAGGCCTCCGTGGCGGCGATGACCTCCTCATTCGACTCAAATTTCTGCCCGGCGAGTGACTTTATCAAGTTTGGAAACAAAAAAAAGTCGCACGGGGCCAAATCTAGAGAATACGATGGATGGGGCAGCAGTTCGTAGTCCAATTCGACCAATTTGGCCGAATGAGGAGGTCATCGCCGCCACGGAGGCCTACTTTGCAGACTTCGAGAAAACGTATTTTTCAGATGGGTTAAAGAAGTTGGAGCAACGCTGGGTCAAGTATATCGAGCTAAAAGGAGACTATGTTGAGAAATAAATCGCCACTTTTCCAAAATTTTCGTTTTTCTTTTGTAGGCTAAGTACTTATCGGACTGCCCTCGTATGTTTGCACAGAGAAAACAGTTCGATTGAATTTACTCAAAATGGATAAACCAAAGTGTGAGTGTTTTATACTCAGAGAAAGGATTAGTCGTTGAAGCGTGCGCGAGTGCGAATTAACGCATTGAGCACACACGTAATGTGCGTATAATGTATTCCGCATTGAGAAAAATTTCCATCGGATAAACCGATTAAATGAATGTATTCGATTGTCATTTTTATTATCTGATCAATTGACGGATACCTTTTATCCGATGGAGCATCCGATGAAATTACCGATGCAGTTACCGATGAAATCTAATCGGAACAATTAGTCGCCCTTTGTAATTTCCATTCGATAAACTTACGGCTCGATCGGATGAAATGATGAAACGATCGGATATATCCGTTTATCACTTTTTCATCGGGTCATCCGGTCAGATACGATCGGATGTTTCTCTCAGTGCAAACAACACGCCTAGCAAATATATATACGATCTTTTCTACGGTTTTATTGTCGCCTCTCTCGCGCCGCTTACGCGATGTTTCTCGGATGTTTCCCAAGCCTGAAAATTCTCCGGACGCGACCCGGACGACAATTGCTGCGCTTCTGACATATCGCGTCGCCGGTGAACGAACGCGCTGCGTTCATGCACACGCACACATACCTGCAGAATGCTAAGAGGAATGCAATGATCGCGGCAATACTTCTCCCTCACCTCGGACGAATGCTTCTCTTTCATCTGAACAGTCGCTCGCCTTGAGGAGCCGCGGTCCTTCACCCTGCATTCTTACAGGACACGTGGGAAACATCGCGATTGTCGCGACAGAGGGATAAAGTGCATTGACATGCGCATATCACATTACGCAAATTACGGCGGTCATGCCGGTAGATCGGTTAGGACCGCCGAATTCGCCGAACGGCGGCTGTCATACACAGTCAGTGTCATTTATACCGTACCATTCCTTGGACGGAAAATTACAAAATTTTCAGCCTTGTATGTAAGCCGCAGAATTGAAAGTTGAATGTGAAGCTCTAAATGGGCAAACAACACGTATAATTTTGAGTTATTAATAGTTGAAAACGACCATTTATCAGAGACTTCTTTAATTAATAACTTAAAAATACACGCGTTATTTGCAAAATGGTAAAGGATTTGCTTTATTCAATGTGGTCTAATTTATAAACATATGACAGCTGTGGTACCTAGCGACAAGTATCCAAGTGTTTTGTCCAATGCGCTTTTTAAATGGTAATTTCTATTTATAATTTCAAACATTCATTAGTATATGTCAAAAACCAGGCAGAAAGGAAGCATGGCGCGTAGCGTAGTTAATAGGCATAGGATTATAATAGTAATAGAATAACAATAAGAAGACCTCAGGATCGAGGCTGTGTCGTGATAATTTTTGTTTTCATCTAATGCGTAGAAATAAATATTTGGCATATATTTTGATACACTGAAACATTTATCCTATAGTTAAATAAAAATTTTTTTTATATATTTATATAATATAAAATAATGGAAACACAAATTACCGTCTTTAAAACGACGAAACCAGTATTTACACATATTGTGGGATACAGTACCTTCATTAAAAACAAGACAAAATATATGCTTTAGTAGGGTTTTTTTGCTGGAACTCATACCGAATGCAGTGTCGAATATAATATTATTCGTCACTCATTGTGTTCACTGTTATTTTATGTGCGTCATTAAATCATAACAAAATGGCGTTTTGGTACCAACTTTAGAAATATACAAAAAGGCGGGAAATTATTTGAATTTAAAAAAATTATATTAGAACGTCGAAGAAAAAGACTAAAACTTTTGTATATTCCTAATAAATTAACCACCGTGCGAAAAAATTAAAATCGCTGAGGCGCTCGTTGTGTTTTCTCCTTATTAGTGTTTTAGTTTTCGATTTTTCTGTGCAGTAAACATTTTTTGAAATTAAAATTTGATATCCTCGATAACATAAATTGAATACTTGCCATCATTATTTTAACACATGCAATTAAATGTCTACTTAATCGAAAACAATATCATATTATATACAGTCAATAATATTTCTATTTCTAGTAAATATTTGCTATAAAGTATTGGAGTAAACATTTTAGTTGGATCGGATAAATATTACTCGAATACAGCGCTTTTTTCTTTCAGTGTGTATCCGAATATCCGTGCAAATGTCACTTGTTAATTAATTTGAAGCGAGAGTGACGGCTCGTGAGAGATGTGCACATGACGGCCTGTCCCGAGAACGATGACATGTTTGTGCAACGAATCACTTTTGTCTCATTAAGAAGCAGCGTGCTCTCGATAAGTGGAAATTCAAACACCGTTCTGAGGGGCTGTACCGAAATCCGGTCCCTCGCTCTTTCATTCGCGTGTTCGCCTCGCCCCCGCCCGGGAACTTTCCGATCGTTTCGGATGCCAGTCGGACAACAGGAAAAAGCCGTGGGCGCGATGTAACTCGTGCGAAGTCTCGCGCGTGCATGCTGGAAACGCGCGTCAAGACGAACGTGACCGAGTCGATTAACGGTGCTTAACATCTCCACGACTCCTAATTCGGCCCATCCGTGACGTCTGCTGACGTCCGTCGAGCGCTTTCTTCGGCTCGGACCCATCGCCCATTTTGATCGACGATTATCGATTCCGCGACACGTCCTGAACATCCCGTACGACTTTGTCCGCTGGGTCGATGCGTGTTCGAATATTCAGATCGTGGTGTCTACTACTCGTCTAAATTGCACAATTTAATAGACCGCGCTTGATCACGTTGGCGCACAGTGAGACTAAACCATCTAAATCTCTAGTTAAAATCCTATTTTGCTAACTTGAGAATGAAAAACTGTCGACATGTTTAAGTAGTTTTACGTGTTTGGTCGATGATAAACTCAGTTATGCCTTAGTTTATCTTTGTTTCCACAACCAAGTTATGACATTTTTCTAATAATGTGAGTAGTATCACAGAAATGATTTATCGATCCACTTGTTTCTAAGAGTTTTAACCGCCCTTTCGCGGCGAACAGCGCCTTTAGGCGCTCAGCTATAGATGCTCATTCTCAGCGAACAGCGCCGTTCGGCGCTCAGGCAAATTTATCCGCGGCGAACGAACAGCGCCAGATGGCGCCCATCCGGAGCCGCTCTCTTCGTACGAAGGCGCTGTTCGTTTGTTATCAACAACTGCCATTAATGTCCATTAAGTTGTTTTTGACGTGCTAGCAGCATACGCTTCTTGTGCAAAGGTTTTTTTTACATAGTCAAATATTATATACACACTGCGTTCGGAACGACTCGCGTATTTGGTCCGCGCGGTCGATCTGGCATCGGCTGTTTAGAGCGCAACTCTTTCCAGAGCACTCCGCCGCGAAAGGGTTAAAATGATTATCGCAGATCTGAATTCGGTATGTTGAAATCATTTTAAAACATATACTCACACTTAAGAACCGTCCACGTTTAGCGTTTTGACCACCAAATTTGGATGTTTCACCCTGCGGTGGATCGCGACCGCTTAATTATAGCCGGCTTTTTCTAATTGTCGGAGCTCTTTGGCGGAGAAAACAACTCCTTTTCTTTTCCTCCGGACTACGTAGACCCGCCATTCATCGTGGTCGATCGTCGTGGAGCTCACGCGCCACTTACTGCTGTTACCGCAGCTAATAGAAAAAAGAAAGTTTATAAACAAACGACGGCGTAATTATCGGGAAAGCAAAACTTGACGATACATGAAATTAATTAGCGCGTTTCTTCATGCGCTCGGAGGAGGCGGTGGTATCCATGTAAGACGGTAAATTTTCGCCGTCGCAGGCGGAGCGCAGCGGGCTCGTTTACGAGGACACCGTCTCTCGGCGTTGTTCATCGCGATTAATTTCCAGCTCCTCGGTAAAAGTTCGCGGACGATTTCTCGCGAGATCCTTTCGCGCCGTTTCCTTCGCTTTTTATTGCAGCTAGAAAAATCCACGACCGAGCGCGAGACCAGTCGCAGTTTCGGCCAAGTTGTACGTTCGTCTGCCGAGATCGATCTATAATCGGGAACAAAAACAGCCATATTCGACGGCATAGTAAAAATGAAAAGACTCATCTTTGAAAAGAAAATGGGTGAAAACAAAGTGAGTAGAGAAAAGGCGATGACATTAATTATCTGGAATTTCGCGGTGTGCAATTAAAATTACGCCCTCCTCATATCGACTCTTCGTTGAACCCGTGAAGTCATTCCTCCACTTGTGAAACTCTAAGGAAAAGAAAAACGTTTCCGCAGCAACTTAAGGTTCGTATTAACAATCGTTACTGAAAACTTATATTGATATTTTTCCTCTATATTAATTAGTACGAATTAAATGCGCTCAAAATTCGAATCTGTAAGTAATGGCCGCGACGAGACACACACGTGCCACACGTCCAATCATTATTCATCTATTTACACATTTTATCCGCGCTCTATTCATTTTATCTGTTGCGTTTTGTCCCTGACATCCTGAGATCCAAGGACATCAAGAAATCCACCTACCGATGTTCCGGTCTTGGCGGCCTCGAGCATCTTCTACTTCTTCTTCGCCAGTGGGGCCAGTATAGCGGGGGGCAATGTCAACGTGTTATAAGGCCAGGCAGATTCCTGCCCACCGATCATTCCACGTCGAGAAACCTGATCGAATTCACCGCCTACCACGAAGTTAAACGTGACGAAAGGAGAAAGAGAGGGAGGAAGGAGGTAGGGAAAAACGGACACCAGCAGCAAGGTTAGTCGCAGTCAAGACGAAGAAGATGAAGAGTGCCGTATTATTGTGCGCGTGTTCGCTGCTGATCAGCGTCGGGGCCGTCGGCAGGTACAGAGGCCTGGAATTCTTGGACCCGTGTCCCAGGAGGGATCCCAAGCTGGAAGCCTGCCTCGCCAGGTCGGCCAATGTACTTACCGAGCATTTCCGTCAAGGTGAGACATGTTTACGATAATCCACTATCGCTTTTGATCTAGTTTGATTGAGAAACTTGTCGGCCCGTGACTTGTACGCCAATACACACCTCTCGATATCGTTCTTTTCATCGGATCTATCAAAGCCTTTACGTGAATTAATTTAATTTGCAAATATAATAAGCTAAGCCGCGAGGTTTGATTTGTATTATCTGACTTTGAAACTGAGAGATGAATCCTATAATTCGATTTTGATAAAAGTAAATCGATGGGCAAAATCAAAGCCGAGCGCCCGATGTTCGGGCGATTAATTTAAATTTAAATTTTGGACGTCGCGAAATTGAAGTACAGTTAAAGTCGCGTTTCTTGCGATGTCGAGTGAAGGTGCAGCGGGTGATTGGAATTGCATCTCGCCGTAGTATACTGCGAAGTATACCGGACGATTTTCTCAAAAGTTTCTATGTCACACTGTGTGCGGAATGTTAGTAACTTTTGCATCCTCCTTATTATTTCCGTCGGGCTAACATTTTCCCCGAGAGATTCGATCTGGAATTGTCCAATTTTAACATTTGTAATTTCTTTAATTTTCTTTCGTTACATGCTGCATAAACGAAGAAATTAACATTTCCGCTTAATGACTCTTTGCTAAATAAACGAAATGTATAGCTCGAAATATAGGAAGTTGGCCGACACTTCGCGATTTCCATTGACGACAAAATAGAGCGTAATGTTTTACAATGTAAATGCTTTTTTTAAACAACTGAAATGTTTTTTTTTGGAACAAATGAACAACAGTATTACGGAGGGTCTTGTTAAGAATCCCGAGAACCCGAAAATTCAACCGGTTCTACAGCCACGTGATTTTGTTAGCGATGGAAACAGGTTATAACGGTGCATTGGAATGGTTACCCAGTGTCCTACATTTCGTTCATTTTACATGATATTACTCCAGCACACTTCGACCGATAGCTTTCTTCAAACGTATCAGCGCTTACGAAGTCATCACTCAAAAGAAAAAAAAGCAAAAATCCATTCTCAACACGACGAATTCAAGCAGAAACTTCTTCACCTATTTCCCACACGTTCAACTGTTTAAAGACATTCAATAAAAATCCATTTGCCATTCTACGTACAAAAGTGTTAAGATGATAATGTCGAAAAAGGAATACTTTATGAGATATTTCATATCTTATACTGAAAAATATTAGAATAAAAAATAAAATAACTGAAAAAGTATTTGTATTTAGATGATCTAGTCCCAGTATTTTTATACGTATAATGAACAGTGGAATCGATTTGTGTTGAAAAATTATATGATTCTATTAAAAAAAAATGAAGTTGACCTTGAATTGTGACTATAATGAAGCTAAGATCATCGTCTTATGTCATTCTCCAAACCATACAACTTTTATCTGTGTATATATATATGTATGTGTATATATATATGTATGTGTATATATATATGTATGTGTATATATATATATACAAGGTGGGCCATTTTAATCGACCCAGTCGAATATTTCGAAAACCAAGCCCGGGAGAGAAAAATTTTTCAGACAAAAGTTGTTTGGTTTCGAGGGGACCATAAGACGGTACCATTGGTTTTGACCTTGAAGAATTATTTGAAAGTCACATGAAGGTCACCTCAATTTTTTTAAATGGCATCCTCTATTTTTTATTACATATTCTTGTAGCTGACCTCGAGAGCTTTCCAAAACACTATAATGAAATGTTTCTTCATTGAGTA